GGTGGGTCTGGACCTGCAGGCAAGGCTCCCAACAGAGCTGGCGAGAGCAGCACTGTGATAGCTGTCAGCGCCCCTGCACCAGCGAGGCTGTTGACCCTTGACCCCTGACCCCCGCGATGCAGACACGCCCTACGCAGGGGATCCCCTGGGAGAAACAAAAAAAAAACAAAACTGGAAGCTCCTTGACCTGTCACAGCCTCATCTCCTGCCGGGATGTTGTCCGTCTGTCCGTCCGTGGGCGCCCCAGCGAACGAGGACAAAGTGGAGAGCGTATCCAAAGAGGATGCAGGATGGGAGGCTCCGGGTGGGAAAGGGTCGGGACTGCCACCGCTCGCCGTGTCCCCGCGGAGCCTGGAAGATGCCGTTGCAGGCGATGCCTCCACCACCGCCACCGCGGCCGCCGCTGCAGTAAATCAGCTGACACCAGCCTCAACTGCCGTGACTCTGGCGGCAACTGTCGCAAAACGAGGCGGGGGCGGAGGGAAAGGCGCACTGCTTGCCGACACTAGGGCCGAAGCCGGCCCTGAAGCCGCGGGCGGCGTCACCAGGGAGACCGAGTGGCGAGGAGCGGGAACACTGTGGGCAGGGCGCGCGCGGCCGCCATGTTTGTTGTGGGTAGCCTCTCTTCTCGCCGCGCAAGCTCAGAAGGACACACAGGGGAGAAAGTCAGGTCCGCCCTGTTTACCCTGTGAGCTCGCGGGTACGCACAGTACCCTGGCCTCTCTCAACCCCGGGTGCTGTTACCCTCTCACCCTTACAGTTGCTGGTGACACTGACGCAGGCGGAACTCGAGCGACGCAGCCTCTTTCAGTGCAGAGGGCAGCCAGGAGCCCTGGAGCGTGAGCTCCGCGGTACGGGCCGCGTGTTCAAATCCCCCTTCCTCCACTGCAGGCCAGTGGACTCAGTGTAGGCAAGTTGCTTCAGTTCTCTCCTTAGTTTCCCCATTTAGAAATTAAGGTCACACTCTGGTGGCTTAGTGGTAAAGAATCGCATTGCCAACACGAAGGTGAGCAGTACCTGCTTTGCCTGAGAATGGTGAGCAGTCTCCTCCCCTGCAATTTGCTGTCTCTGAAAATCTGAGGGAGGGTTAGCTGTGGCTCGGTTTCAGTTGTGGTGCCCTACAACAACAATAATCTGTCGATGTCTACATTAACCGAGCTCAGTAAACCCTATTTTACGTTGTGCTCGCCCATCGTCTTGCCAGATTACGCATTAAATGAATGCATGCGAGGCAGGCAAGGGGAAACTGGACCAGTGGTCAGTTCTGTTTAAATATGCAAAAGGTTTTTCTTTGTGATTCTTTTCTTTTCCTCTCTGTCTCTTCATACATAGATTGTCAGTAGCCGCCCGCCTGCCCATTACCACTGCTGGCTAGATAAGGACGAACAGTTAAAGAGTTCCTCTGCAAAGGGTCATTGGTTGGAACCTACCTACCTGCTCCATGGAAGGAGGCCCTGATAATCTTCTCTCTTCCCCTAGAAAACACAGCCTCAAAGGCCCCATGAGATGCTCTACCCTGTCATAGAGGGTCTATGAGCAGCACAAACAACATTTGTCCTCTGTTCGAAGAACCTTTTCTTTCTGCAGAATCATTTCCTGATGCCTTTGTAATTTCCAAATGGTATACATTTCTCCCTTCGTCAGTGCTAGCTTCTCTGGGCCTTATCTATTTTTATATTTCAAAAATTAAGTATATTTAAAACATTACCACGCACTGAAGTGGCCTCATTAACAAAATAAAAAGAAAAAAAATCACCCTATTCCCAAAAGGGATTGCATCCACAAATGTGGAAGTTAGGATATTAACACACCTTTTGTGAGGACATAATTCAATCCATGTTGTGGTTATCGTTACCCTTTTGTTGTTGTGTACAGTCAAGTAAGAACCAACCGATAGCTGACCCTCCAGTGGGTTTCCAGAGCACTTAATCATACGGGGGGAGGAGATTGTCAGCCGTTTCCCATGGAGCAGCTGGTGGATTTGAACTACATGCTTCAAGATTGCAGTCCAGCTTCTTGGACAACAGAGGGGACCTTTGTCCTATCCTGCACCATCCTCACAATCGCTGGCATGCTCCAGCCTGCTATCACAGTCACTGTGAGTCCATCTCGTTGAGGGTTCCCCCTTCTTTCTCTGGCCCTCCACCTTTTCTAGCCTGATGTCTTTTTCCAGGGACTGGCCCCAAGGTATGTGAGATGGGGTTCACCATCCATGCCTTAAGGAGCACCCTGGCTGCACTTCCTCCAAAATCGACTTGTTTGATCTTTTAGCAGCCCACAGTGTTAAGTTCTAGTACCAATGAAGAAGATGCCCAGCATCTAATGCCTTCGAGAAACTAGCAGATTCTCTCTGGAGAAAGTTGCCACAGACAGAACACACAAAAACAAAAAATATCGGGTTTTTTAGTGAAAGAAAGAAATACAAACAGCCAAGCACAGTACACTGCTGCCTAAAAGTCAGGCAGTTGGTCCCCTCTTTTGAGTGAGAAGGATCATCAGATGGGGCAGAGTTCCAATACTTGTGGGGTCTTCTTTTTAATCTTAACTTTCTTGCCTTTCCAATTACTGGGTTTTTTTCTGATTGATGAGGAGAGGCAACCCTCTTCCATAATGATCACAGATGTCCTTTGAGGTCATGGCAGTCACTGCCCTTCCCCAAGGTCATGGTGCCCCCAGTTCCAAAGGCAAAACTATGGAGCGAGGAGGGAAGAGTAAGCCCATGGCTTTTGTTGCTGTTGCTGCAGTTCTTGGTGGCCCTAGTTCTTTCAGTTTCCCCACTTGTTCCTTGGACCCTCATCCCCATATTCTTTGTTCTCTCGAACCCTTACACATAGGATATTCTGTATTCCTGGCCAACACAATTTAAAGGCATCAGTTCTGTCTCAGTCATCCTTCTACACCCCAATCTTTCCTGAATTTCGAGCCTGGATTTCCAGAACTTCAAGTTAGCAACTCATAGATCACAAAAGACATGTTCCTCTGTTTTACACATTTCAGAAATTTGAGATGCTCACACTGCTCAGCGATGTTCACTGCTGCCATTCTCTTTCCTCCATTTTGAATGTGAGCCTAAAGTTTGGTGGTTTTTTATGGTCAGTATGTCTCTCTGACTCTATCTCAGTTTCTCATTGGAATTGAGTTGAAGCCCACTCATAGCTGAGCCCCATTGGATTTCTGAGTCTGTAAATTGCATGCGAGGAGATTGCTCATCTTGCTCACCAGGAGGGACTGATGGTTTTGAACCACTGCAGAGGTGAAGCCCTGGTGTTAGCAGCAAATCTCTCTACAGACTGAGCCATAAGAAGAGTCTAGTACATGACCAATAATGGCCTTTCCTTTAAACATAGATTCCTCCTGAAAGTCACTCACAGTGGGGGCACTCCCTCTTAGCACCTAAGTGCTTCCTTTATCACAGTTCATGAGCATTCTCTGCAGGCTCAGAGAATCCGTAAATCAAATTCTTTAAGTGCTTCCCTTTTGCATTTTCTCACATGAGTCAACTAGGGAGACTTCTCTATTTTCCTATCTCATGACTTCCACTAAATCTTTTTTCCCCCTCAGGTCACAGAAGGTTTCTTCCTAAAAATGTCACAAGTGCTCTATACTCAGGCCTTCCAAGGACTGAAGGAGTTAAGGTTGGCCTCCTCAGCAATGAGGAGTTAAGGGCCATCACGGACATGGGGTCTTAATAATGACTAGAAAGATCACTTTGCAGAAGGAAAGATAACCATTGATTAAAGAGAAGAGAGCCCTGCAGAAGGGGAACACGAAAGGCCTGCGAGAGACACAAGCTTTTCTGAGCAGTAAATGCACAGAGCCTTTGCTTATAGTCATGTTTTGGAGGGATGTTTTCGGAAGTGACAGAAGCCGTGATGGATTCAGACACACCAGGAATTATTAAAATGGCGTCAATTCACTCAGCTACAGAGTTCTCATAGCTGATCCTCCAGCAGGTTTTCAGAGGCTCTAAATAAAATGGGAAGACACTGTCCTTCTTGCTTTTAAGAGCAGTTGTTGGATTACAATCTCCTGTCTTTTGATTGGTGCAAGTTTTTACTCACTAAGTCACCAGAACTCCAAGATGACAGAGGACTGGACATGTTATTTTCCATTATACAGACCAACTCTAGCAACAATATGTTGTTGAGCACACAAAGTATTAAATATAAAGTGTTGTTATTAGTGGTCTTTTCCCTTGTCACTCTCACAATTTCCATCCACTTCAAGTCCATCTGCTGCTCATGGGTTTGCTAGCAGTCATAGTCAACCCAAAGGCACCCCGCAACATTATTAACAGATTCTGGCTATGAGCCGGAATCAAAAGCTGTGAGTTTGGTTTGATCCCTTTATCTTGAATATCCCTACTTGTCTTTCAACTCAGTTTAGAATTCATAGCTATAATTATCAAATGTTCTCTGTTCCACTCACCCATTCCGCTCACCTCTATTGTATCATTTGCAATAATCATTTTTACTCTAAGTATTGCTGGTGGTTGTTTCTGAATTGTGAATTCCTTTAAGGAAGCGTTGGCGTCTTTGTTGTTTTTTCTTTTCTTTTTTTTTTTTTGGCACAATTGCAAATCAGAGTTCCTAAGGAAAGACTGCGTGGAAAGTCCATATGGAAGGAAACTCAACAAACGCTCCTAAATGTATTTTATCTCAAAAAAAGACAAAAGTATGCCGGAAGGAATTCCAGGAAGGGAGGATTACTATTTTAGGAGGTTGTCATAAACGCACCTAATAAACCCGTCACCGTAAATGTCAGAGAAATGTCACCGTAAAATAGTCAGAGGTGGGAGCCAATATGCACACCAACTTTAAAGAGACAGTCTGCGCTTGCGCCGGTCATCTCTTCTTGTGCGCCTGCGTCGCAGGAGGCTTCCCAAGTAATGGGCGGAGCCACCGTTCGAGTTGTAGGAGTGGTTGGTGGAAGCAAACATGGAGGCGCGGAAGTGACGTCAGCGCGCGCAGGCGCCGTGGCCCCCGCCGCGCAGGGGCTCCTGGGTGCCGCGCGCCGGCCCTTCCCTCGCCTCGCCCTCCGGCCCGCGTCCCCGCCCCCTCGGCGCTCCGCTGCCTGGCGTGACTCGGCACCGAGAGCCCGCTGACCAGAGGCTGCCATCGCGCCCCGCTGACCAGGCCTCGGCGTCCCCCGGCCTCCGCCCTTCTCCCCCGAGGCCTCTTCCCCTTCACTTCCGAGGTCGGTGGCGTCGCAGCCGCGCTGCTGGGCTACCCGCGAGGATGGTGGGAGTGAAGCCGGTCGGGAGCGACCCGGATTTCCAGCCAGAGCTGAGCGGCGCGGGCTCCAGACTCGCCGTGGTCAAGTTCACCATGAGAGGGTGAGGCCGGGCCCGAGCCCCGTCCCTCTGCCCATCCTTTCCCTTTCCCTTCTTTCCCCGATCGCGGTCGCCTGCTGTCTCCTGCCCCCGGAATGCCCGGGCCACGACTAGGCCTCGGCGCTCGCGTGAGTCCCGATCTGTGCACAGGGGGGTCCCAGGCGGGCTTGGGGGTCCCCCAGCCGGGCTTGGAGACACCCGTAGGCGGGCTTGGAGCCTCGGCCAGACACTCCCCAAGTCCGCGATCGCGGCTGCGCGACCTCGAGTCCTCGGATGAGGCCCTTTGGGAAGTGGCCTGTGTGCCTTCCTGTCCGTGAGTCCTCCCTGGCCTCCCGGGTTGGCTCAGGCTCCGGCCCCAGGACCCAGCTGTCACTTACTTTTTAAAACTCAAAACTAAACCCTCTGCTCTAGATTTAATTGCAAGTTGCGTCCATCATGCAGGACAGAGTAGACTCGCCCCATTGAGTTTCCGAGGTAGTGAATCTTCACCGAAGCACTCCTTTTGTGATTGAACCGCTGCGCCACCAGGGCTCCACTTGCATCTTAGAAGTTTAATCCACTGACCCTCGTTGATTCTGTGTATTGTCGACATTTCTGTAATACTTTTGAAAGATGTAAACAGAGCTGTTAACTGTCTGTGCATTGGCTCTGCTAATGCCTGTTGAGTTAAGCTGATAGTGAATCAAGCTGTCTTAGTTATCTTGTTGTTGTATCAAAACACCAAAAGCAGTGCCTCTAACAAACATTTATTCCCGCAGTTTAAGAGACTCATGGCAAAAGTGCAAAGCTGTCTAGTCGGAACCACTGCTGAGTGGTTAGCTGACCCTCCAGCAGGTTCAGAGGCTGGAAACGTGGCTGGGAGAGGTTGTCCGTCTTTAGTGGAATCGTTGGTGGGTTGGAACTGGCAGAGAGAAGCCACCTTTGAGTGCAGCACACTCCCTACCAGGCCACCAGAGCTCCCTTGTAGGAGGTGGCTGTTGTGTGCTGAGCAGTGGGAGCTGACTCATAGCTGACCCTCCAGGTTTTCGGAGGAATTCAGTCGCTTGGGGGTACATTGCCCATCCCTCACCCACAGAGCAGCCACAGAATTTAAACACCTTGCCTTTGAGATTACAATAGTAGGCCATGAGAGCTCCTCTTTAGGAGGCTAGAGGTTAAGACTCCAGCTCTAGGCAAAGCTTTCTTTGTCTGCTGTGGGAGAAGACCCTTGTCCTCTTTAAGCATTAGTGGGTAGCATCCCTTGGAGCTTTGCTTTTGTTGTGGATCAATCTTCCCCTTAATCTAGGAGCTTCTGAGTGCAGGAGCGCCAACACAAGGACATGCTCTCCTCACCTCTTTCCTCTAGGTTCTGAGGTTTTTCTCTCTGCTTGCCTCTTTCCCCTTTTAACTTTTTTAAGATGGAAAGTAATAAGGACCACATCCCAGGGGATTTCCCTTTAGTATAACCAGGACTGTGACTTGAGTAAGGGAGTTGTATCCCACCCTCATTATCTCACAACTGATTGGCTGATCACAACGTTGGGGGTGATTACATCATCACATGTCAAATCATGGCGAGTCATAGCCAAGGAAAGCTGACACATGTGCTTTGGGAAGTTCACCCAGACAGCATGGTAGGTTGTATGTTGGGATGCTCACCAAAAGGTTGGTGGTTCAAATCCACCAACTCAAGAAGAAAAGTGAGGCAGTTTGCCCGCATTAAGATTGACAGCCTTGGAAACCTGTAGAAAGTCGGCCATGTGGTGGAATTAACTACTCAGTCCTGGATTTGGTTACATTAAATCCAGGACAGGTTCTTATATAGTTTATATATCTTGTTTAGATCCTGTAAGTGTTTCTTCATTTGTTTAGCAACTTTGTAGCTTCATACTTACTGCTCTCCAGTTAGAACCACTCATCCAGCTAGTTTCCGAGGCTGTAAATTGCAGGAGAGAGATGAACTGTCTTTCCTGTAGAACTGGTGATGGATTCCAGTGTCAAGAGAGGCACCTCCTTTGGATTAGGAACACATCTCCCTATGGACTTGGCTACCAGAGTTCCTTATGTACAAATTATTGTTATTAGGTGCCATTGGGTCAGAATCAACTCACGGCTGATGTTCCAGCTGGTTTTTAGAGGCTATAAATTGCATTAAGAAGAGATTGTTCCTGCAGAACAACTGGTGGATTTGAAATGCCTGTTTTGGACTAATAGCACAATTTGTAGCCACTAGGCCACCAGAGCTCCCTTGTATACATTATGTTGTTTATTGTTATTGTTATATGCCCTTGAAACCCGTGTGACTCATAGTGACCCTAGGTATAGCAGCTCTGAAGCCTGGCTAAGTCAGTTTCACTGACTCTCACACACCTACCCTCATTGCCCCAGTTACCGTATCAATCCATCTCATCCAGGGTGTTCCTCTCTTGAGCTGTCCCTCTACCCTTTCAAACATGATGTCCTTCTCCAAGGACCAGACCCTCCTGGCCATGTGCCCAAAATCCTTGCCTCCAAGGAGAAACTTTCTTTGTTTTCTTGATGATCCATGGTATGTTCAAGACTCTTCTCCACTACCACAGATTGAAGGAATTGCTGCTTCTTCTGTCATCCTTAGTCATTGTACAGTTCTCTGATGCACAGCCAGTAATTACGAAGACTATGGCCTAATCAGGGACACCTTAGTCTTTATACAGACACCATTGCTTCTCAGTTCCTGTCAGCAGATTTTCTCAGTTCAGCTTGTCTTTTGATTTCCTGACTGCTGGTGCCAAGAGTGTGTAGCTGTGACTTGCTGTCTTGTAGGTTAGCAACTGAATCCATTAACCAGGATGCCTCCAGGGCTGCCCACAGATATTATCGGCCTGGAAACCCAATGGGACAGTTCTACCCTGTTGGGTTTTGAGTGTGGATCAGCTTGACATACAACTTAGTTTTTAAAATTATGTATTCATAAATAATGTCTCATTCATAATACTTGTTCCTAAGTTATCTATGTACCTAAGCCACAGTGAGGTAAAGGAAGAGATCATTTTCACAAGGAACCTCACATTTAGTTCACTTTTCCGATTGTAGTCATTTGGAGGCTTTCCGTCTTTGTTGGTGGTGCGCTCTTTGTTATCAGAGTGAAATGACAGGGTAATGCATAAATCATCTATTGATTGAAGCAAGGAAAGTGGGGGAAATGTTGCTGTTAAGGAAACTTTTCTGTTAGTGATGTGTTATTTAAGCATAAAGATTACTATTGTACAGATGGTGAGTAAAATGACATACTCTTTAAGAAAAATTAGTTTGGTGACTTAAAAGTTTGATTTTTCTCTGTAAAACCTTATATTAATAAGTACTACAAACACTTTTGTTTATAGGAATTATTAAATTTAAAATTATCTCCAGCATCCCCATCAGACCTTACTTCTGACCTGCTGCTGGCTATAAATTTGGGGTTATCCCATTATCATCTCATAAGACCAGCCAAAAGCTTGGAAGTCCCCAGAATTTCCCTCACTCTCCACCTGCGAGATACAAATCTGGGAGTTCCTTCTACACTCTCAGGATATCAACTGTAAGCTCAAGGATTTTAATCACCCTCATATCTAACTTACTCCTACTACCTGGAATTTAATAATTTGCCAGTACTACTCACATAACTCATGGAAAGTGTAGTTACTACAGTTTTGTTCTGCTGTTGTTATGTGCTGTCAAGTTGGAAGTGACTCACAGCAGACCCTCTAGCTTCCTTTCAGAGGTTGTAAATCAGATAGAAGGGATTTGCCCATCTTTTTTCCAAGGAGCAGCTGGTGGATTTGAACTATGTGCTTTTAGATTGGCAGTACAATTCCTTACCCCTGGACCTCCAGAGCTCCTCCGATTTTTTGACAAAGGATACATACAGATAGACTTGTAGGGTAAAATCTGTAATAGTTCTCAACACTGAGTGTCCTTGTGTAAAATGAGACGTACTGTTCTGCCATGTATGACATTATCTTTAATCAACCACGGAGCATCCTTGTTCATAGTCTTTACGGAAGTCTTAATATGCAGCCATGAGACTCAGTCATAGTTGGCTGTCTTCCCAGTTTGACCAGCTCCCACCTCCTTAGCATAAACTCAGGGTGTGGTCTGTAGTCCTCAGAGACACTTCTGTACCACACCTTTGGGTGCCAGCAGTCAAGAAATCAAAAGTCAAATTCAAGTAAAAATGCAATAAGATAAATAATCATCTCAGCTTAGCAACAACAATATTGTTCAGTGAGACAGCAAATGACAAATGCTCTCCAAGGTGTCAAGAGATTGCAACTGTCATATACAGCTGGAAAGGAAAACAATTTGGTGTTTTCTTAGGAGTTGGGATTTGAAATACCATTTGATTCCACCATCCTATTACTGGGTCCCAAAGAAAGAAGAGCTACGATATGAACTGATAAACACACACACACATTCATGTGTATGCGGTATTATTTGCAATAGCAAAAAGTTGGAGATAACTCACAGATCCATCAACAGACGAATAGATAAAGCAACTATGGCACATTCAGGGAACTCTGGTGTCTTGTTAGGTGCCAGCGAGTCCAGTATGATTAAGCGATCCTGTTAACAACCAATCTGAACACTGTTCTATCCTGTGTCATCCTCATAGTCGCTGACATACTCAAGCCCATTGCAGCAGTCATCGTGTCAGCCCATCTGGTCGAGGGTCTTCCTCTTTCGCTGCTTCTCTACCTTCCTAAGCATGATGTCCCTCTCCAAGGAATAACCTCGTGTAGCAGTACACCCAAAGTGTGTGAGACGGAGATTCGTAATCTTTTTCTCCAAGAAGCACTCTGGCCACACCTTCTTCAAGACGTACATGTTTGTTCTTTTGGCAGTCCATGGGTTCTCCCGCGATCTTCTCCAACACCATGGTTGAAAGGCTTAGTAGTAAGGGATTGTGCTGCCAAGCCAAAGGTTCCTTGTTCAAATCCACCAGCTGCTCTGTGGGAAAGAGAAGGGTGGACTTCTCCTGTGCCGTTTATAGCTTCTGAAAACCCAGTGGAGGGTCAGCGATGGGGTTGCTCCCAATTTGGTTGTACACAACAACATGGTTCCTCTACACGGTATTAGGCAATACAGAAGAATGATAATGAATTTGTGGAACAACCACAGCATAGGTGAATCTAGAGGAAGTTATACAGAGTGACATAAGGAAGTCCCTAAAGGATTATTATGGCCTAAGACAGTTAGTTATTATTCAAAGCTAGAGAAGTGTCTACACACACATTCATGGATGGTTATCAGAGGCAAGAAGGAAGTAAAATTTAATAGCAATTAGTTGAGGAAAAGGCAATATACAAAAGTTTGATGAGGTATTGTAATTAAGTTACAGGTATTTTAATGTTACAAAGTAAAATAAAGACCAATATGATTTATAGATTTTCACTCAAATAAAAACCCAAACAAAACCCATACCTTGGAGCAGGTGCACTTTAGCCCTCAAGGTGACCTCTTTTAATCCATGGGAGGTTTTATGCAGCAGAACTGCCCAATAGAGTATATTGCTTGATTCCTTTCCTGTTGTTCCCATGGACATCCGTTGACTGAACGTACTTATTTTTGTATTATTGTAACTGGGAATTGTTAAATCTAAAAATCACCTTTTATTACCCTAAGTGTAAAATTTAAGAACTAATTTAATGATTACTTTCTTTGCTTTTTGAGATGAGACATAAAGTGAAAGTGCTGATTAAAGTCTAATAATGAAAACAAGTTCAATCTCGAGTTTTAGATACTCAGCAGCAGCATATCCACTGCTCACCTACAAGGTTAACGTCACAAGACCAAATTATTATGTGAAAAATCAGCTTTGTGCTAGATGGAGGATGGCAACGTCATTGCTAAATTACATCGTTGTATAAACTGCCAAACCGCTGAGAGTCAAGGCCTCACAGCAAGGGTTACGCTCATCTTGAAACCTGGTGGTCATTACTGCCAGAGGTATGTTACGCTGAAGAATAGCAGGATGGGAAATTCTACGCCCCCACTACATTCTCACCCCAGTTGGGTAACAAGACCAGGAGTAGGTATAGGAGTGTTTAATAACTGCAAGTGTAATTTCTTCTGCTTTAAGCCTTAAAATGTCATTGAGCCTTAAATGGCTTTTCTTGTAATTGCTCTGTAAACTTTATGATAAGCTTGTTTATTTCTGCAGGAAGACGTAGCAGGTATTTTTACAGTGACTCTGAAGATAAAACTGGAGGACCTTAACATCTTGGCCATATTCAGTTTTCCTCCATTTTTTTACAACATCTAAATCACTCTCAATTAAATTAAAACTGAAAAGACTTAACCCTATTCTATATTGAGACCTAATTTAAAATTATATAAAACATCAAAACAGTATACTATTAGTACAGATAAAGACAGATTGGAGAGTGCTATAAAGATTATCAGGATTTTTTTTAAATCATATCAGGATTCTTTGCTATTTTAGTTGACCAAGTGCTCTGAGTGAAAATTAATACACTATGTGGTGGTATTTACCAAGTGTCTGTTTTACCATTCTGACAGGTGTGGACCATGTTTAAGAATTGCTCCAGCTTTTAGTTCGATGAGTAATAAATACCCACAGGCAGTTTTCTTGGAAGTTGATGTACATCAGTGCCAGGTAAGGCCTTAGAAGTTCTTCCTCACCTTAGAAGTTCTTCCTCACCACTCCCCCTTTAATTCATTTGTGAGTCATTTTGAAATCCAGCATTAACTTATCTTTTATGCGCATAGCCCTTGTTTTTTTGAAGATAAGGAAAATGTGTTAGCATGATTATTTGAAAGTTTATTATGATTACTTTTTTCCTATTGAAATTTTTTTAAAAATAATTTTAATGAGCATTTACAGAGATTTTGGATTTCCATTCTTTCATTGCTGCACTTCTCTCCCCACCCAACCCTCCCCCCTATTATTACTTTTAGAAGGTTATTTCTTTTCATTGTAAATTGGTTCAAGTTTCTTTTGTATAAACACCTTCCTGATATAAAACCCACATGATGTTGTTAAAATAATAATAGATCACATGACAGTTCTGTTTTCTTTATCTTTACTGGATCATTAATTATATTCTTCGTGACCAAGGCATTGACAGTATTTGATGTCATTTTCATTCAATTACTCATAAACATTTTGTTTTAGAATATTAATTGTGATTGATCGATGCTATTTGTTACAAGTTTTCATCACATTCTCACTGGACCCTCCCTTTCCTTTCTCCTGGGCCATCTATGCCTAATCTGTACTCCTCTTTTTCTCCCCTCCCGTGATTGTTTTTCTGTGTGTAAACTTTTCCTTAGTTTTGTCAATACCAGTCAATTGTGACATTCGTGTCATTCCAGTTTAATTGCAGTACACACAATGTTTCATTTCAAATTGACTGTCCTTTTTAACTGTTTTAGTAAAGTATTCATTATATATCCATTTCCTGCTCCTCTAAACACATACACATGAACAGACACAAACAGATGGCACACACGTAAATGATCACCATCCTATTTTTGTAACAGTGATTTCTAGTAATATTTGTCGACAAAGAAATCTTGGGTTAAAGTCAGATTTGAACTGATCAGTTTGTAGTCTTGTCCACATTGCATTCTCAGCCTAAATTTGAAGTGAAATTTATGTGATTGAGCCACAGTATTGTAAGCACATTATCCCTAACTATTTAATAGTAACAGTTTTATATTTGCATATGTAGAAATGTGGAGGAGTTAATGCAGAAAAGAAATCTGTTGGAAGGTTTTTCTAACAAAGTGGGCTTCCCTTGTGACCACGAGGAACCGCTTTGTACCTCTGTCCAGCCCAGCATGGTTAATGAGGCTTTATGCAGCTATTTTTCTGAATATGGGGAAAGAATGTTACATAGTTTTTAATAAGTAGTTTGGGGATTTATAGTAAAACTCCATTACACATTAGTTATATGTTATCAGACTACTTGTTGCTGATTAGTTTAAGCTACATGTGCTTAGCTGAAATGTGGAACTCAAAGCTGGAATTGTGCTAGAAGTATAATATTTGAGAACTTGGCATGAGTGGCAAAATGTAAACTTTCCTTTTTTATATTCATTATGTGTTAATATTTGCATATATTGATTTAATTATTAACACTATTAATTAATAATTAACACTATTAAAATTATTTTCCCTTGCCGGTTTTTTTTTCTTTTTATTTGATTGGAAAACTTAACCAGTTTAACCTATATGAGTGGTTCTAATTTATGTTTCACATTGTAGTTCTATTGAACACACTATCCTAGAAGACCAGTTGTGGTTTTGTCATTAGGATATGAAAGATACCCTTCCATGGCGTTTATACGGGTTTTTTTTAAGCAGCGGCTTGTTGTAGTTATGGCCCATTGAGCCAGAACCAACCCATCACTGATGCTCTAGTGGGTTTTCAGAGACGGTAGATTGCATGAGTGGAGATTGTCCATCCTCCCACAGAACAGCTGGTGAATTTGAACTATGTGCCTTTGTAGTTTACTTTCTTGTTTTCCTTATAATTGTCTTGAAAAGTTTAAAACCTAGTAATCCAGATTACCTCTCTTTCATTCTGTAATTAATCTTACAAAATTGTGGAGCCCAGGCAAAACTAAAGGGGCTCTGGTTACCGGAAGTCCGGGGTCTCTGGTGGTGTGAACTCACCAGAGGGTAGAGGGTACTAGGGAGAAAGATGGGCACTCCCATTAAAATTACGTTCCAGCCTTAGAAACCTGATGGAGACTTGCTCTGGGTCAAAACTGAAATGATGGTGGTTTAAGAGTGTTGTCTGATACTACAAAGCAGTTTTTATATGTTATCGTTGTTATGTGCCGTCAAGTTGCCTGCAACCCTTAGTGACCCTATGATTGCAGCTCTGAACCCTGCCCTGTACTGAGCCAGTCTCACTAATTCCAGCACACCAACTCCCATTGGCCCAGTTACTATATCAATCCATCTCATCCAGGGTCTTCCTCTTCTGCGCTGTCTTCCACCCTTCAAAGTATGATGTCATTCTCCAAGGACTGATCTCTTCTGGTGATGTGCCCAAAGTATGTGAGACAGAGCTTCAAAATCCTAGACTCCAAGGATATAATTGGTTTCACCCTCTCCAAGACATACCCATTTGTATAGAAAGTTAATTATTCTCCTGAAGGAACCATTACAACTTACAAAATTACAAGGCTGTCTTTCATAGTTGGTGCAGGGGGATAGTGAAGCTTGTTCCTAGTGGGACTGCGCTTAGGAGTAGATCTGCTTCTTGAGTTACAATTGAGAAGAAACCATATTTAAAGTCATGCTTGTGATGTTTTTAACTTCCATGAAGACTTAGAATATATATTCAAAGTGGTTTACTATTTGTTTTAACTCATAATTCTTTCTAACATACCGTTTCTAGGGAACAGCTGCCACCAATAATATATCAGCAACACCTACATTTCTCTTTTTTCGGAACAAAGTGAGAATTGATCAGTATCAAGGAGCCGATGCTGTGGGATTAGAAGAAAAAATCAAGCAGCACTTAGAGAATGACCCTGGAAGCAATGAGGACACAGATATTCCAAAAGGCTACGTACGTGCACTTAGCATTGAGATTCATATGGTTCTTGATGTTGGTTGTTACTTGCTTAAAGTGCACTTGACTTACACATTCCTTACACTACTGTATTAGGCTTTCTTGTCTTATTTTTCACTGACTAGTTCAGCATGTTTTGAAAGTAAAAATCCTAAAAGTAAATAGTGAATTATTAGACATTTGTGTGTGTTGTAATATCTAATTTTTTGAGGCCTACTTTAACAGGCTTTTGATTGATTTATTTAGGGTGGGAAAACAAGTTTTATTCTATCTGTTAATGTATATGAGCTCCCCAAATCTCGTTCAGCGAAGGGAAGTTTCCGAGGGCCTGTGTGCAGGCTATGCTAGTAGAGCTGCAGTGGGACGAGTTGCTTGACTACTAACCCAACGCAGGCACCTTTCTGGCTGTTTGAATCCACTAGCCGCAGGAGAAAGGTGGACAATCTTTTTTGTGATTTACACTCTTGAAAGATTCGCTGGAAGTCATTTAGGAGTCGGTAATGAAGTTTGAGACAGAGGTTAAAGGCACAGGGAAGAACGTGTGTTTATCCAGCACTTTGAGGAAGGAAAGGCAGACTTGTCTTTGAAAAAGTAGAGATTGTGCGCATCAAGTAGACACCTGTGTCTGTCCTGCAAGAAGGTGTCTTTGTGGTTAGCTTTTCCTCCCAGGACTCAGGCTGGAGGTTTTCCTCTGTCAAGGTGGCATGTTTCCAGGTAAGTCCTTAGGCTTTGCAGCATGCCCTCCTTCAAGATGACTGTCCTCTAGGGGGAGCTCTGGTGGTCTGACCCCAAAGATGCGTGGTACGAATCCACCAGTGGCTTTGTCGTTTCATAGGGCCAGGTATGAGATGGTACCAGCTGGACAGTACATAACAACAGTGGCCTCCTACAAAGTCCTATCGGGGCTGTGCACTTGGCACCCTAAAACTCTTCACTGAGTTAAAAGAGAACACCTGCAGGTGCTGGGCTGTGCGGTGAGGATGTGTTCCTGGGTCCTCATTGAATAGACCATCTCTGATAAACGATCGGAAAGTCTTAATAGAAAAAAGTGAAGCTCAGCTAGAGTGCAGGGTAGAGCCGCAACCCTCACCTGTCAACACAGAATGTCAGCTGCATTAGGAGATCTTCCTCTGGTGGCCTCGTCCTAAGGAGCTGCCAGCAAGGTGCAAATCCACCAGCTGCTCCTTGAGAGAAAGGTGGACAGTCACTTCCTGTGCAATTTACTGCCTTTGGAAACTGCTGGAGGGCCAGCTATCAGTTGATTCCGACTCTACCATGTAAAATCCGGTAAAGGGTCAGCTGTGAGTCAGGTGGCTGAGAGTGAGTGAGTGGTGACCAGTATAAGAGATAAGCTTTATTTGATTCTACAGAAGCTTTAACTAGCTTCTATGTAAAGTACAAATTAATGTTTTATAATCTTAGTGTCAATTAAATGGATTACATTTTGATTTGATTTCATAATTAGTAGATCTCTGTCCACCATTCGAGTGAAAGTATTATACAGGAGCTTTCTAAAGATATTAAATGTTTTCTTTAAAATTTCTTTGAAATTTCTTATTCTGGTAATATTTACAGACTTTAAATTTCTTTTTCAGACTTTATGCCAGATAATTCTTGCTTAAACTCTTGATTTTTTTTTAGATGGATTTAATGCCTTTTATTAATAAAGCTGGCTGTGAGTGTCTTAATGAAAGTGATGAACATGGATTTGACAACTGTTTACGGAAAGACTTGTCCTTCTTGGAATCTGACTGTGATGAGCAGGTAATCTTGATGCTTGATTCGTAGTTTGTAGGGAGTGTCAATCTCTACCCCCTCTCGTAACTTTATCATGGTGCCATCTCTTTGTCTTCTGTGTTTTCTTCCCTAATGATGACCCTTTCATCCATCTAATTATTTACTTGTTTGTTCGATGCAAGCCATCAGGTGCAGTGAGGAGAATTGCAGAGCTGTGAGTTTGGCCTCTGTGGATATGAGCCCTGCAGCCACTCTTTGGTCCTTTTGCTCATCCTCCATGCTGTTTACCCAAGCAGTAATGAGTTTGTCTTTGATGACAATTGGGCGAGAATATTCTATATATACCTAGCTCCTCACCCCTAGATAGTGTGTCAGCAAGCAAATATTTGAAGCTAGTCTCTTGTTGTCATTGCTGTGGAGAATGTGTGCAGCAAAACATAACACCAGTTCAGCAGTGTGTACATTTACAGCCTGTGCCTTTGAATTGTGATAATGGCAAAGAGTATTGATAGGCCAGGGACTGCCAAAAGAGTAAACACATCTGTCTCAGCAAAAGTGCAACAAGGATGCTCTGTAGAGGCAAGGATGATGAAACACCTATTTTGGGCAGTTATCAGGAGGCACTAGTCCTTGGAAAAATAAGTCATGTTGGGGAAGTCAAGGGTCATTTGTCAGTAACCATCGACGAGATGGATTGACGCAGTGACTGCAGCAGTGGGCGTGAGCCTGTCAGTAGTGAGAATGGCACAGGCTGGGGCAAGGTTAAGCGTTGTTGTTCATGGGACACTGGGCGGTCGTCAGCTCGACAGCACCTGACGACAATGTGCACTACTCAGGAGTGACATTTATTATGTTCGAGCAAGGCCCCTTTTTCTTAGCTGTTTCTTCTGCAGAAGGACCCTGAAGGAAGATGGTTCCTTAACAGAAAGTAACCATCTCTTAATATTTCTGTCTAATCTTTTGAATTATAGTTTCCACTTTGGCCTCACGTAGATTATTCCTTTAAATTGTGAATTGAGTGAAGGTTTACAAAGCAAATTCACATTTTATTCTTAACATTTAGTACATTCTAATTGTATTCTTCCCACTTCCTCCCTGTAATTCTGTTAATCCTTCTAGATCTATATGGTTCCCTTTCATTAATGATACTATGATCATCCTCTCATTGGACATTACTTTTCCTTTATTATGTACCTACTATCTATGTAGAGAGCTCTGGTAAGGAGCAGTGTTGCCAGCTGAAGGCACACAGTTTGAATCTTCAGCTGCACTATGGAGAAAGGTGGGCAGTATGTTCCTGTGTGATTTACTGCCTCTGAAAACCCACTGGAGGGTCAGCGATGAGTCAGTCCTGGCTCGATGGTACAGAACAATAGCAACTATATGTACTCCCTTCTCTCTACTTTAGCAGCCTTGTAACCTTTCAAGAATAATTTTACGTGTGTGTAAAAATCTCGAAGGTGTACAGTTTGAGGTCGCCAGCTGCTCTGCGGGAGGATGAGCAGTCTCTGCCCATGTGGCTGACTGCCTTTGTACACCCGCCGTGGGCCGATGCCGACTCTACTGGACACAACCACAAACTCTTCCTGACCGTTTTGTAATAATTGTCTTATGTAAGATGGGTCGTTTTATCACTGACTGATTTATTTCACTTAATGTTATCTGGATGCATCTGTCTTACTCACTGTTTCAGGAATTCACGGTTTTTGGTGTTCTGCAGTACTCAACTGTGTGAATGTGCCATGATTTCCTTATCCATTCATCTGTTGTTGGACATTTGGGTTGTTTCCATCTCTTTGCTCTTATAAATAATGCTGAGACGAATATGCGTAGTTCTTTTAAAAAGCATCATGCTCAAGGAAAACTTTTTTTAACTAATGAAGTTAGACTACTGGGTTATTTTTGGTGTAAGGATTAAAAGGTTTATCAAAGAAATGGCTTCAGAGATTCATTCACCTCTTATGGCTCCAGAAGTCCTACATCCATGAGGATTTGCCATTTTTCTTTGCCTTCTTCAGAATTGTTGCTCAAAATGTTCAATAATAGTCATTGGGTGCATTTTCATTTTCTGGTCTCCTGACAAGAAGAGGTTGTTCATAGAAGTAATTGCCACATTATCTATTTTCTGAGCTTATTCCTAACTATCCTTTAGCTTTTGTTCCAGGTGAATAAAGACCAATTGTTAATGGCTTAGATGGCAGCTTAGAAGCTTGTAAGACCCAAGGCATTACCCAGTCAACTAGGAGGTAGAACCGAAGCCATAAACATACCACTAGGCCGGTTAACTACGATATCCCTCACACACGCCACTCCAGTGTACCTCCACACCAGGGAATCAGATTCCCTGAGGTTTTTTGGTGTACATTCATAAGGAGCTCAGCAACTACAAACGAAATGGCAAAAATGTAATTTTTTTGTCAGTTTTTAAGTGTATCACTCTTTCTTCCAATTCTGTTTCTTAGAGGTTATCACCTCAAGTTATAACCTATACAGTTGCTTCTAATTCTCAAGTGATTTGTCTAGAAGTTTGATAAATCAGTCATCCTATAAAATGTTAAGCTATATGCTAAAGTGGCTTAAAAGTAAGGTGGTAGTTTAAATTTTTAATTTAAATAAGATTTTTGAGAAGCAGATTCCTTGCCAAATTATGGACCAAAAACCTTGAGTTCTTACAACTTAATTTCTCCATGAAACTTTTTTGTTTGCATCTGCTTACATAAGTAATAGCCCTCAGATGTGTAATCAAGTTACTTTTCCATTTAACTGATTTACCATATTAAATTGATTTTTGTTAGATTTTCTTCAGTCTTTGTTGATTTTTATTGTTTTCATGGATTATGTATACGAGAACTTTAAAATGAAGCTATTACTGTCTTCACAGCTACTTATTACTGTGGCATTTAATCAACCTGTTAAGCTTTATTCCATGAAATTTCAAGGACCAGATAATGGTAAGTAACTGGCTTTTCTTGATACGCTAGCCTTGTACACCTGTCAGCACGTATTTGAATTTCTTAATAAATAGAGATAGTTGTATCTTACTTGAATAAAAATTAATACTAAGATATCTTAGATTATGAATAAGCAGCCAAGGATGTAAATGAATGAACAAATGAAATTATTAGGGGCTGGAAGCAAGAGAAATGAAGAATTTTTGCCTTGCCCATTTCAAAAAATTTTTATTTTAGAATTCAAGTTTCTTCTTAATCTGAAAACTAGTGATCCTTTTCCTTCAGCTGCTATTCTAAACCTCAAGGTTCAAAGCACCATTTTCATGAAATCATAATTAGGAATTTTTTGCACATTTTTGTACGTGTGATAAAACGGAGGTTAAAATTTTCTGTTTGTGCTCAGTTAATGGTTAATATGGTGGGATTGTAGACAGGATTTTATGGAAGAATTTCTGTGGTAAATCAAAGAACTCCCTTGACTCACACCTTCCTCATTTTCTGACCAGTTGTTGTGCCTTGGATGGCTGCATGCAGGCTTTTAGAAACTCAGTGGTAAGAATCTGCACTGCAGTCCCAGAGGTACACTGGTTCAAATCCACCAGCTGCTTCATGGGTTAAGAAAGGGCAGTCTCCTCCCGTTTCGTTTAAGTGCCTCTAAAATCCTGCTAGAGAGTGAGCCATGGGTCATTTCCGACTCGGTGGTACACAACAACAGCAATAACTCAGTGAACTAGGAGGAAAACTAAAGGACTATCCATATTAGTCCATTAAGAGAGGTGGCCTTGAAAAGCATGATGGGAAACTTCCCAACTGAGGCACCACGTCCCGTGACACGTGTGCTTGTGCTAAGCCGCTTCGGTAGCTGCTCTGGTTGTTGTTGTAGTAAGTATACCACGCAACTCTGGCCAGTTGAACTTTTTACAGGCATGTGACTTAATGATGGTAGTTAGGATAATCAACTGTATAACTCTGCCCTTCTTCAGTTTAGTTTTTGTGTCACCAATAACTGTACTTCCCTCCCTCCTTTCTGCCCCAGGCAGTGGCTTATAAACTTTAGTCTGTGTTATATTTGTCTTTTCATGCACACGACGTCTTCGTGGTATAGCGTATGTCAATCAGGATTTGTTCCTTCTGCTGTCTGAGGAGTATTCCATTGCATGTGTGGACCACATTTTGTGTGTCAATTCATCTGTGGATGGATATTTAGGTTGTTTCTACCCTTTGGCTGTTGTGAATTGTACTGCAGTCAACAATAGTATTGTATACACTATATAACAGTGTTACAATCAACACTGCTGTGCAAATCTCTTATTGAGTCTCTGCTTTCAAGTCTTTGAAGTATGCATAGGTGTGGAAATTGCTGGGACATATTGTTGTTCTCTTTAGTTTTTTTAGAATCCTACACTCAGGTTTTCTACTGTTGTTGTTGTTGTGAGGTGCCATCAAGTCGTAGATGACTCATAGCGACCCTATGAACGGAAGACGTAGCACTGTTCATAGAGTTTCCAGAGACGCCATTTCGGAAATGGGTGCCACTCCTGCTTCCAAGCTTATTTTAATCGGGAAGCTCCACCAAACACTCTCCACCATCGTTAACGGTTACCACATTTGGCACATCGGTGTCACAGTGTTTAGCATCACATCAGCTACGAGTTGCCTCTGTACAGCAATGCACAGACCAGTGCTGTACCACCTAGGAGAATGTTTCACAAAAAAACAGTTTGAACCAAGTCTGAGGGCCACAGTAGAGATACTATTTTGCATTCTCACAAACAGTGCATAAGCAGTCTGTTTAAACACATCCTTACCATCATTTGTTATTTTGGGGTTTATTTTTATAAGTCATTGCTCATTTCGCTTGAGTCTTAAATCATCCTAAGGGACGTGTATTGCTATCTTTCTTGTGTTTTCATTTGCATAATCAACAGGATGGATTGAGCCAGTGTCTTTAACAGTGGACTCGAGCATATTGGAGAGATCCAGATTTCAGTTATTAAAGTGTTGTCACATAAATGATTCCCAAAGATACGCTCCCAGTTAATAACCACATTTTTATTTTTTTTTTGTGAACAAGCTTCAAATTTTTCTGAGGTCCCATTTACTTACTTTGTCTTTTGCTGTTTGTATTTTTTGTTATTACAAGGGAATTTCTGTTTGGTTGGGGGCAAGGATCTTGATTCCCTTTTTGGCAGGTAGAAGTCTAATTTTCCCAACACCGTCGTTGAAGAGTCCCTTCTGTTCCCACCAAATGAGTTAACACCCTTATGGAAACGTCAGTGATTATATAGATGAGTAGGTTTCTTTGTGAATTCTCACTACTGTTTCCGTTTCAGTGTGTCTGTTATACTTTACTAGTCTGATTTGATTAATGTAAATGTAATTAGTTGTCTCAAAATTCATTTTCATTGAGATGAAACCGACTCGTAGGTGACCCTCCAGCATGTTTCTGAGCCTGTACGTCACTGAGAGGGAGGTGCCCATTTTTCTCCCTCAGAGAGACGGTGCGCTCACCCCACAGGTGCTGTGGTCTTGGGGTTGGCAGTGCTGCTCAGTGGTGTGTGCTGCTGGAGTTCCCTGCTCATCACCTGTAGCCTGTGCTCAGCTCAGCAGGTGTGAGCTCAACTGCTTTGTTCCCTTCCCCATTGCTTTCGGTATCCAGAGCCTCTTGCCTTGCCATATAAATTCAAAGATAAGTTTTTACAAAGTATTCTGTGCTTGTGGTTGTTAGTATTTTGTTCTCTTTGATTTTATAGGTCAGGGTCCAAAATATGTAAAAATTTTTATCAACCTACCCCGATCTATGGATTTTGAAGAGGCAGAAAGAAGCGAACCAACTCAAGCTCTGGAACTAACAGAAGATGATATTAAAGAAGACGGTATTGTCCCACTTCGTTATGTTAAGTTTCAGAATGTTAACAGTGTAACTGTAAGTAGTACTTCATTCAGATACATTGTTAAAGGGTTTGGGGTGACATTACTGTCATGGGCATCCTAAATGCTTGTAACTGATCCTTTCAAGTGGCCATTTGTCCACTACATTTTAAAGGAGAGAAAACTCTAGTGGACTGGCAACACTTATTTTCAGTGTGCGCCCAAAGAGGAGAACAGATTGAATTTTTAAAGAATTTTTACTTTTAAAATTTATTTTGTCTGTGAGGTGCTCTCGGTTGATTTCAACTCATCATGACCCCTTGTGACAGAGTAGAACTGCTGCCCCAGGAGACTTTGGGTGGTACAGACAGTTAAGCACTGGACTGCCAGGCAGTTCATGGTAGAAAGGCTGATGGTTCAAACACAAAAAGAGGTGCTTCCGAAGACAAGTCCTGGCGTTCTGCTTCTGAAGGGTCACAGTTTCACAAACCCTCTGGGGCAGTTCTGTTCTGCACACAAGGAATCAGAATCAACTCGAAAGCAATCACAACAGCAGCATTTACTTCCCTAGAATATAGGATGGTTAATAGCTCTAAACTGTATTTTATAGAATGACTTAAAATATATCTGAATATTGGCATAGAAACTGTTGATTTCTGTCAGTTTTATATTTCATGTTATATAAAAAAAGGCCTGCTTCTAAGTCGGCTCCACTTTTGAAACAAAAAACACCCTCATATTGATTGACTCCTTCATTAAAAATACACTTGGTAGTAGTAAAGGGAATAGTCAGGTTGAGTTTTTGTATGTGTGTGTCATCCTTCTATAAGCTTGACAGTGAATAGGGATGATGGAAGGAGGAGTGACGCCTATGAGTTGTGTGTTGGAGAAGAGTGTTCAGAGTCCCATAGACTGGCAAAAGCAGAAACAAAAAGTGTTGCCAAAGGATCGTGAAGCTTCAGCTCACCTACTTTGGGCATATTGTTAGGAGAGGCTGTTCCTTAGAGAAGGACATCAAGTTTGGAAAGGTAGAACATCAGCTAAAGAGGAAGATGCATTGACATATTGGCTGCAGTGATGGTATCAAATGTGTGAGAGGCGATGAGAATGACAGGAGAGGGTGCAGGTCTGTTCAGTGTCTGTGAGTCTTACGTGACTTAACACCATCAACCACGCTAGTGAGAAGAGTCCTGAACATCTCATGGATTTCCAGAAGAACAAACAAATCCATCTTGGAGAAAGTACAACTAGAGAGCGCCTTGAAGGCAAGGATAGTGAAGCTTCATCTCACATCCTGTGGGCATGGTGTTAGGAGAAACCATTCCTTGGGAAAAGTCGTGCATGGAGAGGTGGAGGGTCAGCGTAAGAGAGGAAGACTTCCGCATGTATTGACACAGTGACTGTCACAGCTCAGGATGATGCGAGATGAGGAGGATGTCACAGCATAAGGCAGGGCTCAGGTCTTTGTTCATAGCATTGTTGTAATCTGTAGTTAGCTTGATGGCACATCAGAAAACAACTCGAGTCAAATTGGAGAAATGATTTATACTAGAGCCCCTGATACCAATATTTTCCTGACTTTACTCAGTTCATATTTGTCACGTTGTTGTTGACTGCTGTCGAGTCGAGCACAACTTATAGTGACCCTATGAACAAAAGACCTGAAGCCTTTCTATAAGTATCGTCATTTCTCAAAGTTCATAGTTTCCAGAAGCATGTTGTTTCAGAAGTAGATGCCCCCATTATTAATTTTTCAAACTTAGTAATGAAGAGAGTGACTCTTACTTTTAAATCATTTTTCTAGATCGTCTTTACTTGAAAATTAGAGAATGACTTTTTAAAAAAAATTTGAAAAGCTCCTGTGTAATCTCTTCCCTCATTGAAAGTTATTTCAGTTTGTCTAAGTTTATTATTATTAAGTTCATCTAAGTTTACCCTTGATAGACTCAAGCCATAATATATACTCTGACTTACCTGATCAAAACGTTCATCAGTAACTTGAATCATGATGTAGGAAATATCATTTTATCTCTTGTGGAAGTAAAAACAAGGAAAATAGAGTGAAAAAGGAGTAGGATTCAGAACGATAACTTTAGTCAGAGATCCTCTTTAAAGCAAGTACATGAATTTTAAAGTATTACTTACAAAAAAATGTATTCCTTATAAACTCTTGGCTTTGGTTCAGAGAATAAATATACAAATAAGCAAGAGGAGATCAGTTTCAAACTTTAGTGGCACAATCCTTAAGTGCTCGACTGCTCACCCAAAGGTTGATTGTTCAAAACCACCAGTAACTCTGTCAGAGAAGACCCAAGTCACGACCTCCTGTATTATGTATGTAGGCTTGGAGATTTTCATTGACAATAGTTTTGTCATGACCTCTCGTATTGTATATGTACGCTTGGAGATTTTCATTGACAGTAGTTTGAGATCAGTCTATAGTTCCTTTAAGAAAAAATAAATACTGACTGATAAATACCATCTTAGAATGAAGAAATTATGAAGCCCAAATCAGGTAAAGTAATATTGTTAAGTGGGCAGCATCAGTCTTAAAATGACGTAAACCATGAAAAAAGATTCAAGAGTTACTATTCTATTCCTTACCTTGCTGAGAGTGGTATTTGAATTGAAGGTAAATCGTCAAGCTTAGCGGCCTGGTGAGCACAGTGTACTTACATATAGCTTATTTCCAGAGTCAGAGTTTATTTTCCTCATCTAGGGGATCTCACACTATTTCAGCATTTTTTGAAAGGAATTTAATTATGACTGTTGTAGGGAATTAGCATACTGTTGTAGGGAATTAACACATACACTTGAATTTGTGAGTTTCTTGACATTGATAGAGAAAGTGAGACCAGCAGGGAAAAAACGATGGATTTAATCTCTTCTAAATATTGAATAATATGTATTGGTCCTTAGAACATAGAGGACTTTTTAAAAATAATAATCTGGGGAGCGCTGGTGGCCTAGTGGCAAGAAGCTGCACTGCAATCCCAGAGGAACACGGTTCGAATCCACCAGATGCTCTGCCGGAGAAGGAGGTGCAATATCCTCCTGTACCAGTCAGATCTGATTTGACGGTACAAGCACACAAAATTAAAAAAAATAATAATAATCCAAGGACATCAAATAATTTTAAAGTATGTTCATGAAGTAAAGGATTGTAACTCTATAAATATAAACATTTTCCTTTTTAAATATGTAGATATTTGTTCAGTCCAATCAAGGTGAAGAAGAAACAACAAGAATTTCCTATTTTACGTTTATTGGTACCCCGGTCCAGGCAACAAATATGAATGACTTCAAACGAGTAAGTGTGTGCAATTTATATTGAAAGCAAATACAAATGTAGTTTTAAAGGAATAATCTGAAATACTTAACTAGTCACAGTTTTTTTTTAACAATAAAAATCCACAATCATATTAGGCCATGAGGTTGTATACTATTATTACTTACTCAGCAAGTTCTCCTAGTTAACATCTAGGTATTCAACTAAAATAGAAGTCTTTAATGAAAATTTTATTAACATTGGTAGTGATAGTATGTCTATTAACTACTGACATCTATATAAGAAGAGTGAAAATTATAATTTGCCAGTATAGAAAATGGTGAAATGTAAAAATAGTAAGATAAACAATTTTTGTAAAGCAGTCAAGTTGTAAGGACTTGGCTGATACCAAGATTTTTATGTCACTTCTTAATAAAGACATTACAAATGACTTAAGTAGTTTTAATCAGCAAGTTTTAATTCAGTGGTGCTAACTTCCCAGTCTGTCATAAATGTATTAGACACCCCTTCCTCCCCTTTTCTCAGGCATAATACTGAGGTTTTACAGAGAATTTATGGAGGACATGGGACCTGTGAGAATCGGCCCTGATCCCCTTCATGGAACTTCTAATTGCTGACAGTTTTCCGGGATACCTCTTAAACATCCAGCCACAGAGTGTACAAGAGACAGGGCTTATCAGGACAGAACACCAGTTGCCAGACATGTTTAGACATGTGACAGCACAGAGACCTGGGTAATGCTGCCTTTCTGGTGGCTGGATCTGGAGGACAGTGTCCAGTGGGCTGCCAGTCCCTGGGGACGAGGAGGTGGGGGGTCGGAGCTGGAGAGGATCTTGAGAATTCTTTGGTTGTGTCTGCAGATATCGTTTAATTCAGTGATAGGAAAATTCATGTAATTGTGTGGCAGTTATATGCTGTTACACAAAACTTGAAAAGCCTTGATAGATTTTTTTTTTCCTTTTATTTTTTTTTTTTTGTGTGTGTGTGGTCATTTTTCAGCTCTTCCTGTCTCACAGCATAATAACTTCTAGGAGCTGCAGGAATACTCTGTACTTAAATAGATCGGATTCAGATTTTTGACATGTATAATGACAGGTCAAAATAAGCTGAAATTAAATGTCTCTATTTTTATGATATGAAATATGTGCTCTAGGGAGAAATGCGTGAACAAAGAAGTATATTTTTGGTTTGCCTGTTTTGATACTTTGCTTGTTTGACTTAAACGCCAGTTGATGTGGCATTATCTTTGCTTTGCATATTTTGTTTTTCATTTCACTCTCTCCTCAGTCTTACTGTTTGTGGTTTCTTGCTTTTCACTGAAGTTTATGCTGTTGATGTGTGGCTTCTGGTTTTTTCTATTTGTAAGCATCATTCTCTCTTGTCATCTCCCTCTTACCAGCCTGCCATTTGGTAAAGTTTTTCTAATGTTCATCTAAGACTCTCTTTCCATCTTTGATTCTAACATTCTTTCATACCCCTTCTAGCCTATTTGTCTTTTTTGACTGCCAGACTGTGTTTTTGAACTATTTTGAGTATAGTAAAGCTGTTGTGTTTTTGTTTTCTCAGCTAGTCCTGTGTGGATTTAACTACCTACCTACCTA